TACTCCCACCTGCGCCGGAAAAACTGCTGAACACAATTTTTTGCAACTACAAAAAGGGATGGAGTGCTAAATGTGGTTGCAAAAAAGTCGGACTGTTTTATTCTCTGGCATGTACGAATTGTCAAGGCCGGTCGTGCTCTAATGTTGAATCACCAACAGTGGAGGATTCATTTAATTCCAACGGGGTGAGATGCGATACATCGCTATTGACGCAATTTACTTGAACCCAGGATGAAGATGAAGAAGAAGAACAACAAGAAGAAGAACAAGAACAAGAAGAAGATTAAGAAGAAGAAGAAAAATAATTTAAATGTTACGAATCAGACGAATAAACTTCAGTACTTTTTTTAAATTTACATCTTTCTATTATCTTTTCCAATCATTGCTAATTTCCGTTATTTTGCAATAGTTTCAAATTAAACAGGATCACAAGTGACCCTTGAAATAGGCCTACTGGGGAAACCACGTTTAAAAACGCGCTTAGTAAACTACCTCATAGGTGGAGTGGAAACGTGTGCATATTATGGCGATTATAACTTTTACAACTTTTCGAATCGTTATATATCAGAAACTGTAGCTCGTAGAAAAAAAGTATTGATACATTTTTTATAGATTATTTTATGATCTACAATTTTTGTCTAGTGTATTTTTATGATAAAACTTACCGTTTTGCTGAAAATCGCGAAAAATCATTTTCCATTCCATACAGGGGAATGATGGGGAACTTTAAAATTTTATTAATAATTATATTCTGAACAATTTTACTGATTTTCAGCTTGTTGTAAATTTATGTACCTTCGAATGTCTAGATTGACCGGGCTATTAGTTTAAAAATCAAATATACTTAAAAAAATCGGATTTAATGTAATTTTTACCAAAAACAGTGATATTTTTATAGAAAATTATTGCAGAATCGTATACATAAGAAAAATCGAACAAAATTATTTTTTTTTTCATTACAGCGCCATCTATTACAAAAATAAAAAAATGTTTTAGACAAAATCTACCTATTTTTAGTCGAATGATCCGAATCTGCAATAAAAAGTATACTTTTCCAATTTCCAATGGAACACCCTAAAGTTAAGGAGGAGAGTATTTTAGTACTGATTGATTTTTTTTATCGAATCTAACTTTTATTTTAAAATTTTTTTCGTAAAATGCATACTAACTGAGATATTTCAAAGATTCAAGTTAAATGACTCACCCTGTGTAATTAAATTTCAATAATTAATTACCAATATGTTTTTGTAAAAGACTTGACAATTATATTCAACTTATTTAGTGGTTAAATTTTCCCAGAAATGGGTCCAAACTAAAATTGAAAAATAATTAAAACTTTTGATTTTAAAATATTGATTTTGTTTAAAAGTGATTTATATTAGATTTGTTATTGAACTAAACGGCTACATCAACATATTACTATTTTTGGAATTTTTTACCAATTCCATGCATCTAGCTGCAAACTTATTGGCTATACTGGAAGTAAGTAAACAAAAAATATAAAGAAACAAATTTCCATAAAAATTTATTCTTTTAGTTTGAATTTGGAATTACTTTTATCTTTGATGTAGTGTTCATTTTTCAAAAAATTGCCGAAATTATGGTGTTACATTATTCTGCTGATGAAATTAAATCACAGGTACGTAAATTATATACAGCGTTTCGGACACGCCGCACCATGGTCAAAAAGCAACGTTTTGCGGAAAAAATTTAATAACTTTTTTAATACAAATATTTTTTTTTTCTTTTTTTAATGTGTTAAATAGTTGTTATTACTAATTATTAACTATATTTTAATCAAAAATTTTAAAGGTTTTTATTTTTTAAATACGTTTTTATATTATCATAAAGCTCTGTTTTGCAGAAATAATTTAAAAACTTTTTTATTAAAAATAGATATCTATTTTTTTCTTCTTTACTGCATTATATAATAATTTTTTATTGCAAAAAAATTTATTTTTATTATTTTTTACTTTATTTTTTAAATGCGTTTTAGATGGCCCTAGAGCATCAATTAAGGAAATAATAATAATTGATTTATTTGTTGTAAAAAAAATAAAACATTTCATTTTAATAATAATACAACAAAATGGACTGGAAGGCAGACGAATCTGATTGTTAAAAAGTTTTTAACGGAAACTAAATAAATGTATTTGAAAGGTTCATTAAACAATTTAAGAAAGTAAATTAATATAAAAAATATAGGTTTGAACAAAAAAACAAAAAAAGATTTTATATAAAAATAGTATATTAAAGAACTAATGTCATAAGACGTCATTTTGTCGCACGCGGACAATTTATAAAACGAGCGATGAAGGAGCGAGTTTTATAATGGACAAGTGCGACAAAAGGTCTTATGACATGAGTTCTTTATGCTATTTTATCTATTTTGCAAACATTTTATAAAAGTTTTATGAAATGTTTGCAAAATAGATAAAACAAATTAATTTTATACCTTATATTTAATTTGGTCGAATTTTACTTTACATAGTTGGTATCTCAGTTTGAAGTTTGAAAGGTCATTAACCTTTCAAACATTATCACATTCTTTCGCTATGGCGTCGTTAATTTACAACAAGTATTTACAATAAGCGGCTGTTAAAGAAGAAAAAAGGATTTTCTTTGGTGTTAAACAAAATTTATTGCACGAAAAGTCTCGTAAGTACTAGAAAACAAATCATAAAAATATTATAACCTATAGGTATTCAATATTTTATTTTACTAGTAGCCAACCTATAAAATCAAAATTTTGGGTGGAATAAAGTACCTCATTAAAGAACCAAAAGCGGTGTTATAATGAAGTCATTATGAACGCGAAATAGATAAAAACTATTTACAAAAGCTTCGCAAATATTAAATTTGAAGAACAAATTTAAAAGGTTTTATTTTTAGAGTTTTAAGATGTTCGGGAAGGTTATTGTATAAAGCATAAACGTTATATGAAAAAGATCGTCTAAATATTGCTGTTTTGTGAGCAGGCCTTTAAATCATAAATTTAGGTTATGAAAAGATTTAGTTTATTAAATGTGTGCGTAATTTTTAGCCTACTGTGAGGTGTAATAAAATCAAAACATAATCATGTTTTTAACAAATCATCGTCATAAAAATACCCATAATAAAAAGTTTTTAAAAATGTCCGCCGATAAACCATAGTGCGCCGTGTCCTGAAAATTGCTCACCAAATCCACACCACGAGAATTTGACAAATGCGTTTCATATCAATTTTAAATAAAATGATTTTTAGAGCCTTGGTATCTCACAAGCTATTTGCGACTCAACCTACTACAATTTCAACAAAAAATCCAAAGATTGTCTTAGGCTTATGTTACTCGTAAGCCAAAGACCTTTGACTTTGACAATTGGACCCTTCGGAGAAATGTCACTGGTTCCTGCATTAGCCATTTTTAAAACAGCCTATACAATCACTACTTTTTTGCAACAATCCAAAAACAAAAAATAAAAAATGAACTTTTAAAATTTCTCAAAAAAAATATATGTGCAAAAGTTGATAGAAATAGTTTTTTGGCACGCCTGTTCTTGTTAATAATAACAAACATTTTTTTGCTGCATATTTTTAGTAATATTGTTTGAGTAAGAAAATTAGTTTTTAAAAAGCACACATTTTTTTACTTTATATATATTAAGAAAAACTTAAAATATTGAGAAAAACCATTTTTGGTAGAATACTAATATTATTACGTGGACCACTCTGAATAAAGCTTTCCTAATAACATCTAACACATAAAAGGATAATTAAGTTGTACAGGATTTTTTCTGTTCAAAACTAAAGACGAAGCCGTACCTACTAAAGATATGAAACAATTACATAGTTACAAGTTTTTTATTTTTTAAAGCTGCAAATCGTCCAGTTTTTAAAGGAACCTATGGAGTCAGAAATTAACGGGTTTACAACAAGATTGTGTATTATTGAGCATCAAAATATAATGGTATGATTTTATTTTTTCTTTTAATTACTTTTTAAGAGTTGTTATCATGTTTATTCTGTAAGAAAAATATATACATTTTATTTAAAAATACAAAAAAAATTATGTTTAAAAAAAAACTTTGCATTATTTTAGGCTAGTACTAGAACTAAACAGCTACATCAAGTTTTTACTACCATTGGAATTCCAGGCAACACACAGCAAACCTAGTAGCCATCATGGACGTAAGAAAAACAAATTAACAAATAATAATACAATTGACGTATTTTTGTAGATCGAATCTATCACGGCCATACACCAAAGCTGAGTGGGACAATAAATCTGTGAACAAAACAGTCCAAGATTAACAAAAACGAGACCAAATAAGCATTGACACTTAGAACATAAATTAACACTCAATAAATTAAGAAAACCCAAACAAAGAAAAAACAGCAAAATAATCAAACTCAATTTGATTTGTAAACACATTAAATTATAACAGAATAACTACGCTTGTCATTTGTTTAACTAATAAATAAATTCAATACTTAATTTTGGAAATTAAGAAAAAAAAGACAAAACAATTCTACCACAAAGCGTGCTTGGGCAACACAATAATTAAAAAATTGTTAGAAATTTCGCACTACTGCCCCAATAAACAATTTAAAAAAAAAACATCAAAATCTACATATCCAACTACTGAACCGGCCTCAAGACTAAAGACACATGTGCAGGAACAATCCTATTTGGACACGAACAATAACGACAAAAACGTAGACCAAGACGTAGGCTCCTGCAGCAAAATAACAACCCCCGAACTCCATACAGTAATCCCAAATGTTTGGAGTAATATTAATTAGTATTAGCAGTTAACTGCCTGGTCTAGGGGGTACCGCGTCGTACTTAGATTTACTATTACTCATACTAATTATTTACGTGGTGCGACTTTGATGTTTAGCATAGTACCAACCACGGTCGTATATAAGACCGTGGTACCAACCAATTGGTTTAAAACAACCAAATTTTGATGGTGTCATTTTCTGATTAGAAAGTAAAATTTAAAAAAAATATTGACATGTTTTTTTGACATATTATACTACACCCAATTTTTATTAATAACTAAAGTACAAACAAATCAAAATTTGTTGTTATGGAATTTATGGGAGCCTTTTTAGAATGGATAATTAATAACTACATAGTGGCAATGGTATTTTTAGTTTTGCTAGCTCTTTATGTAAAAGACATCTATGACCACAGTCGAGGGGCTGAAAGCAATAACACTGCGTGTACTTCAGAGTATAGCTACGATATTTTAAATGGTAAGAAATCAGCCTAATTCACTTATAATTAACTACCCAGCAATTGAAGTAACAAAGGGAGGGAGAGAGAGCCAAATGCATTTCTTACAGTTACTGTATAGTATATAGCAACCGTAATACAGCACCAGTATACTGTCGAGGCAGCGTAAGCGTACGTACCAATATAACATTCATGAATGTACCCCAGTAGCACAAAATATTGATCCTATATGGGGCGCGTCTATGCCCAATATTTTATCTGGGGCCAATATTAAATTTATTTAGCCGATGTTAGCCCTATATTGGCATAAAATGATAATTTAATATCATTGCCAATGTTTGGTCCTATATTGGCATATTATTTTACGCCAATATATCATTAACTATAGCTAACGATGCTTTCGGATTTCTAAAAGTGATATGTAACGACACGGAACGGGGGGTGGCGCAACCGACTACCATCATAATTGTTTAGCATCAAACGGGTGAAAATAATAAATTCTTGCATATTACCATAAAAATAACAAGAGATTTCTTGTCTTATTAGCAATAAAATTCGTTATTACGTTAATAAAGCTCAAGCGGATCATTTTAACCACAGATTTTAACACACGATACAAACGAATTTAGCATTTCATCTTAATTAAGAATAACATAGACGGTACAAGACTTGTCTTATTGGTAGATTTTTTCAAAGAATTTGGAGGGTACATTTTATATTAAGTAACCCCCTTATCATTTGGGTGGGTGTTGTCACCCCCCGCTTCTACGCCCCTAAGTCCCTAATATAAAAATTTCCTGAAAACAAACGTTTGTCGACACGATCGTGACATATCACTTTTAGAAATCCTACTACGTAGTAAGTACTAGGCGGCTATCTTTTTTTTTCTTTCAATTTCTCCCTCAACTTTCCTAGAATATAAAACAACTTCGAGCCAATGCGGATTTCCAATATCGGTTATATAATGTCAACTTCGGGCCAATGTTCACATCACATTCGCGATGCACGTTTAATTCACACCGGGCGCACGCTGTGAATCTTCAAAAATGAATGCATCGTGAATTCACTAGTGAGATCATACACAGAGTTTTGGTTTTTTATTAAACTTTATAAAAATAAGACCTGCCTTATCAAAATAAATCTGAATACCGAAACGTAAAGAATCCTTCCCTTTCCACGTGGGGGATCAGGACCCCCCACCACTGGTGTTAACTAAAATTTTCGTTTTAACCAATAAGGTCGTAACTAGTAGTGATATGTGATATGGGAACTCGAAGTAATTCAAACGATAACTTTGAGTATGAACTCACAGTGAATTTAGGCTGCATTCATTTTTGAAGATTCAAGCCGAGCGCCCGGTGATGAAACGTATCCCAGTAGCACAAAGATATTGGCCCAATATTCGTAATAATATTGGGCCAAAATATCTTTCGTCAGATTTTTTCTAGCATGGTCCAATATTGAAACCCAACATATACAATATTAAATTATTCATGAAGGTAATGATATCTTCAAGGTTTATTAATATTGCAAAAAAAATAGAATGGGATTCCTTGTATGAATTTAATAGTTAGGAATTCTTAAAAAAAACTTCCTACAGTTTCCGAAAATGTATACCGAGATACAATGCACTTGTTTAAATATCTGATTTTTTCTTAATATCCGAAGCACTTTTCCAGGGGTATCTCAGATGTTTGGTATCTTTTAAATATTACATTTTATATTGCAACACTAACAAAGCGTTTCCGGCCTCTAGTTAATAGAAAGTTTTTTCTTATAAATATATTTTTATGGTAGAATATGTGAAGAAATGGAAGGATTAAAGGTTAATCGCTGCACATTTTTAATTATTTTATTAAATATGTTTTAAAAGAAGTATTCATTCCGGGGAGGGGGGTAAAATTCCTCAATGGAATTTTTCTCTATAAAAAAATGATGCAGATAAAATATAAACTCTTTTTTTGTCCATGAATAGTCACAAAATAATCCTTTATTGACACTTCAAATCAAACAAATACCAAGACCATTGAAATAATAAAAACCTTTCCCTCTCCAAGCAATAACAAAATTTGTTTATTTAATGTAATATAATAAATAATATTGATAATTTACATTTTGTTTAACTTAAAAATATGGCAATTTATTATTCAGCTAATCAATGTATTTACTTTTAGGTCCGAACGGATGGAAAAACACGTTTCCTCAAGCCGCTGGATGCCGCCAGTCACCAATAAATATAATCAGCTATTGCGCCATTAATATCCCAATGGAAACAGTCACACCCTTAATCTATTCCACCGACTATCATTTACCTCCGTCCGAAATGACTCTATATAACAATGGACACAATGGTATGTTAGGTACCTATACTTTGCGAACATCGCAAACCTTTAAATCTAAATGGTTTAGATCCTAATATATACACGCGTGTGTTGCACAAGTTCGAAAACTTAAAGGCAAAAATAAAATGTCATGTGCAGAATCGAATTTGAAGCATAAAACAAAGAATACATTTTCTCCAGATCCGGCTTTGTTAGCAAGATATTTTAATTTATTTATTTAAAAATAAAAGTTAAAGTATTAGTTACATGCCATTTAAGTAACAGTTTGACCTAAAACTAACACTATGTACGTTGATGCACGCCTGGAAACGCGTTACTAGGCGTGCATAAACTAGGGTTGCCAGATTTTTAAAAACAAAATGCAGGAGGTTAAAACAATAAAATTACAAAATCATACATTTTGGTCGAACATAGGAGATTCCACAATCCACACAACACGGTCTGTTCTATCTCGTACTAAAAATACTAAAAATCATTGCAACACTGCACAGAGTTTAACGGCGGCCATTTTTGTTGTTTACAATTCTTTGCTTTGTGCTTGTGCTGTTTATACACATTAATATTCGTTTAAAACGTTGTGTTTCTTACAGAGGCACTTCTAAGCCTTAAAAGTTTACTCTTGATAGTATTTCATGTTTTCTTGTTTTTCGACCCCCCTGTATAATATTTTTAAATTTAAAGTATGGGAATATAATTTTCAACACAAGCAGAACTTTTTATGAAGAATGACTTTTGGTCAAAAAATTAAAACTTTAGTCCATTTGTCCTCTATCCATGAACATACTGTATATACCTACTAGGGTGTGCCAAAAAAAGTCGATATTTTTTTTTTCTTGCTCTCCACCCAAAATATCGTAAAATATGTGCGAACAAATATCCTGTTAAAAGCGGAGTTCATAATTTCAATTTTAAGAGGTCCTCCATCGAATCTGAAGTTTTGCCGCTTAAATAACACAGAAAACTGACTTTTTTACCTTATTTATTCTTGCAACCTAGGAAGAAATTTTTTTTTTCATAAAATCCATGACCAAATCTTACAAAGCATTAAATTTGGACGAAAAAATCTTATTAGGCCGAATTTCTATTTTCATTATTTGATTTTTTACAGAGCTTTAAATTTAAAATTTTACGTTTTTTGCCTTTTTTAGCTAAACTATTGAAGTTAGACGAAAAAGTCAAATGGCAATTTTTTAGCTTGTCTGATGGACCACAAAAAAGTTTAAGGCGAATTTTTTGTATCGTCAATATTCTAAAAGTTACAGACGTATAAAGTCATCATTTTTGAATTATTAACTTTAAACTTAAAGCTCTGTAAAAAATCAAATAATGAAAATAGAAATTCGGCTTAATAAGATTTTTTTGTCCAAATTTAATGCTTTGTAAGAATTAGTCATGGATTTTATGAAAAAAAAATTCTTCCTAGGTTGCAAGAATAAATAAGGTAAAAAAGTCAGTTTTCTGTGTTATTTAAGCGGCAAAACTTCAGATTCGATGGAGGACCTCTTAAAATTGAAATTATGAGTTCCGCTTTTAACAGAATATTTGTTCGGACATATTCTACGATATTTTGGGTGGAGAGCAAGCAAAAAAAAATATCGAGTTTTTTTGGCACACCCTAGTATATACAATAGGAAAATATGAAGTAAATTTCAATAGATTACTCTTTTTAAACGAAAAAAAAATAACAATTGCATAGTATTTTTTTACAAATGGCGAATGCGCCGGGGTTAAAAAGATTATTATATTATAATAACACTGAGCAACACCAAAAATGTTTCCGAATCCAAAATAGCAAAATCTTACTTATTTTATTATATATAAGTATACTAATTAAAAATTTGCCTTGCAAAAGTGTCGGTTAGTTCCGGTTTAATAGATCCAGGCAAAATCATATTTATTTTATTATACTATATTTAAATCTTATAAAATTTAAGTATAGTTATTTTATCATACTAATTAAAAATCTACCTTGCAAAAGTTCATAGATCCAGGCAATTTTGATATATTGTTAATTACCTAATAATTATAATTAACAGTTAATTAAAATTAACTAGCGGTCCTTAATGTATGAGAAAATACGACCTTACCTGAATTTATTATATGAGGTATACTTTATAAGGACTTTAAATACATATAACATAAAACAAATCATTACTTATTAAATGTTGTATTCACCAGTTTATCGAGAACTGTTCGTATTTGAAAAATTAGAGTGTACATAAGCCAGATCATTTTTGTTATATATGTGGTGAAGTGACATTTGTGAAACAAAAAGTACTATTAGCCCTTAAATAAAAAAGGCACTTGTATTTTAAATAAATAAAAATAAAATAAAATAAAATCTGCTGCTACAAATGTCCTTCCAACATTCGCAGCTGGCTACCTAAGAAGAAAAAAGCTTAAGATGCCCTTTGCTGGCGAGAACCAAAAGACCACGTTACTGACTGCTTCTTTGGTTTAACACCTATCAAAAAAGGACTTTCGGAGAAGAAAAGGTCTGCGATACAGTATCCAAATTTACAATCCTCAATACGCCTCATAGTGACGAGTTGCCTGTACCTAATCCACCTCATTCTGATGATTAAACGGATTCAAACAGTAGTGTGTCGGAAAATGTAGCCGGGCCATCAGACAGTGATTTTCTCTGTGAACTTCCCAGTAAGTGCATCACAAAATAAGTTAAAGTCAATTAAGTGACCTTATAAGGAATTTGGAATTGATCAAGCACAAATCAGAACTATTGGCCTCATGATTGCAACAATGGAACCTATCTTCAAGAAGGAGTAAAAGTTTCTGTGTACTGCTGGACTATTACGAGAGATGCTCCAGAGACTGCTTTCAAAAGACAGGCTAAGAAGCGCAAAATTCAATGGTAAAAATGTGTCTTTGATTGATTTTATTGAACCAACAATATATTGTTCTATTTTTGTATGTTCATTGTATATGATTATAAATAAAAAAATTGTAAGAAATAGGATTTTTTTTTCGAGCCAACTAAAATCTTAAATAGGTATTTTTTAGTTAATTGGGTGTAGTTGAATAAAAAAAATAATTTAAAAAGTTATTATTTCTAAATTAGATGTTGTTTTTTTAATATTTAATATAATTTCTAAAAAAAATAAGTAAATCAGGTTTGTTTATTTTTTTAATAATGCCTTTAATCCTCTAGCTGTTAATATTTTAATTTTGGCAAAAATCGAATTTTGAGTTTTTTCCCAAACGGTGCAGATATATATGTTGTTTTAAAGTAAGCACAAACTGGACTAATATTAATTATAAAAAATATTTCACAATTCTTAACTTGTCACACCACATTCTCATCAAACGCTACCCGAACGCACAACGAATTTTAATAGTGAAAACTTATTTTTGCCACCAAGATCGTACGGCCTAACGCCGTAGGATTTATTTTTATAAAGTATTTTGTCTATGCCAACCAGCCAACCAACCAATAATTTTTAAACCCCCTTTAGATTTAATATTGGTACATTCTGAATATTTAGCAGTTGGGTCTTTTAAATAGCACCATTAAATTATACATTCTATATATTTTATTTTTAGTAGTTATTTATGCGAATTGGATGTACGGCTTGAGACCATTATTAACAGGGGGGCCTTTAAAGGATGAATACAGTTTTTGCAACATAACCTTTAGATGGGGCCCGAACGATGATGAAGGCTCTGAACATATGTTGGATGCAAAACGATTTGCAATGGAAATGCAAGCTTCTTATGTGAAAAATGATTGTAACGAGTATGTAAATGATGACGCTCAATTAGCAGCCAAGAATTCAGCTTTGGCCGTCGTCAGTTACTTCTTTATGGTAACCTATTTACTGATATAGGGTATCCCAACATAAATATTTAAAAAAATCCATATTTTTTCTTTGGTTCTTAATTTAACTTAACCATTGTTTTTCATGTTTAATGTCAGTATTTGTACCTAAAAACTTAATAGCAATTTTAATGAAATTTTTAAAATCAAAATGTTTCTTGTGGGACACCCTTCATAACCATATTTCCTACAACTAATGTTTTTAAGGTTACCCCGATGGATAATGCCTACATGGACCAAATTATTTCATCTCTTTTGTCAATAAAATACCCATTTAGTTCAGTTAATATAGAGCCAATACCTTTAACCCTCTTGGCGCCCTGCTTCTCCAGAAAATACCTCTCATATGTGGGTTCTTTAACATACCCCCCGTGCACAGAAGGTGTAAAATGGATTGTGCAACCTGAAGCATTAACGATATCTAGCAGACAAGTCAGAAAATTTAGAAAACTGTTTGGTATTAATGGACCCATTTTTAATAACACGAGACCTGTGCAAAAAGTTAATAATCGGGATATTTTATTTTATGATTAAGACAATAATATAAATTATTTTTATTTGTTTGATTATTAATTTGTGGGTACAATTATTAACTTTAGAAAATAATATACATAGTAGGTTATTCAGAACAGGCTAAATGAGGAGGTCCATTCCAAAACTCGGCTAACCACTTTTTAATAAAAATGAATTAGTGGTGTCTGTTCATTTAATATGTATCCCCCTATACCCTGAAAAGTTCATAATATTCTAAAACTAACCTTATTCCATTTAAAATTCATTTACAAATTGACTATCGTTCCAAAACTTGTCTTTTCTATTGGTTATATCATGCAGAACTCGGCATATAAGTATGTAATTTTAAATTATTTTAGGTATATAAATGTTTTACTTATGCCTTTAAATTTCGTTTAAAGTATTGTGTTTTCCTGATATGCGTTAGTACTCACGTGTAAGGTTTTTGACATTTTGCTCGAAAACAACTAATATGGATAAGCCGAGTTTTAGAATGCACCTCCTTAAATAGTAGAGATTCTGTTGTTCTTGAATTTTTAGATGTTGTACGGGTGTAACCTTACATATTTTTTTATATTTCGTGAACAGTACTATTCGAACGGAGTGGATGAGTCATAACAGCCTCTTGCACTCGCTCACAATTTTCTGGTGTTCGGATGGTCTTTTCTTTTTCGACGTTGTGATATCTGTCTCCTTACTCTCTAAAAATAAAATAGTCAAAATTCTACTATTTGAATTAGTACCAGCATTTTTTACTAATAAATTAGTCGTTTTCACTTTTAAATAGTTATTTTTTACTATGTAAATAGTTAAAGTTTGACTAATTTAAGATTAGTCACCATATTTGACTATTTTTGACAGTTAAAAGTAACTAATTTCTTTAATCGTTTACGGCCAACAACGAAGTATTATTTGAATTAAATGCATATACCTCTCCATGGTTAAATGACCCATAAAACAAATAAAGATGCAAAAAGTTTAGCTCAAAACAGTAACACAAATAAAATATTAAACTTTAAAACAATATTTATTGACAAATAAAATTTATTTTTATGACAAATAAATTTTAATTTTATAAGAGCGGCTGACAGCCGCTAACAGACAGTTATGAGGTTAGGTTGACAAGCTTCTCAAGTGACAGACGTGAGTTCAATCCCAGGCTGGGTCAAAACTTTTTTTAAATTTAAATTTACTAATTTAACTATTTCATTCAGTGGAATTTGACTAATTATTAGTGACTGCTTTTTCGCTATGACAATTAGTCAAATATGACTAATAATTAGTTATTTTTGACTAATTCATTTTAAGAGTAAATTTCTTCACCCAACGCTTAATTTATTATACTGATTAGCGCAATTAATGTATCGCAAGTCATAATGATCCTAGGCTTTTACGCATAGAACGCGATCTTCACTTGTTTTATTTCGAGTCAATACAAATTTAAAAACTTGCCGCAGGACTGTATAATAGCAATAGGAACGCCGGATTTAAATTTCGCCATGTTCCTATTTTTTGTAAAGTGCAACCTTGAAAATATGATTTTTGTAGTGTAAAAATATTCCAATTTAATAAGATATGGAGAGCGGTATTTTCTATAACAACGTGTTAATATTCTTAAGACTCATTATAAATATGAAGAACGCTTTGCAGAAACCGTTCGAAAATTACGTCCAATTTTCGGTCGTGCTAATGCTTTAAATGAGACGACAGTTGCGAAGGTTAGTGAAATTTGAGGAAAGTGGTTCAGTTGGGGACATACAAATACCTGTGCGTCGTCGTACTAGCCGATCTGCTGAAAATATTGCAGCAGTACGGAAAAGTGTTACCTAAAATCCTGGAACCTCGATTCGTCATCGATCCCAACAAGTTACTATTTCGAGGAGCAAATTTTAACAAAACAAAATATCTTCATTTTCATCCATACAAAATTCAATTAACAAAGGAGCTAATCCCAGTAGGTCTTGCAATGCGCTGGGAATTTGTTAATTGGATTCTGGCAAGGCATTGCAAAGACAATTTGGTTTAGAGATGAAGCGCACTTTCATTTCAGTCAATAAACAAAATTGCAGAATTTGTGGACAAACCAGCAACAATTCATTAACTTAATGACGATATTCGACGCGTTCTTGACGAAAGTCAGCAGCACATATATAAGTTAAAAAAAAATATATTAAAAGAGGGAGGGTGTGCCAACAAAGTCGTGGTGGGCATTTGTTGAATATTTTGTTTCAAGCATAATCGGAAGATGTGTACTTTATGAGAAATATTTATTATAAACATATCAATAATTAACATCTATATCGGATTGTAATATATGTGCATGGGCATCGCCACGGAGGAGCTGCTGCCTCAATATTTTTTAACAAATGGAAACTTGCGAGATTGCCTTTCCTGTAGAAAAAATATTGAACCTAATTAGTGCGAAAAGTTGCTTTTTTTCGCACGCATTTACTTTCCGCACTGTCAGCTTTCCGCACGCTGGCAGAACAAATATTTTGACATTTTTTTCACGGATCAATTTTAAATCAGCTATTAAAACAGAGGCGTTGCTAGGTGTCGGCGACGTCAGCGACCGCTGACGGCCTCGCGCCTAGGGGGCCTCGCAACACTAACAGTTAAGGGTTTAACCCCTTGGGGAATTCCCCACCAGTATCCATGGCCTGCAGGCCAGAAACTTATTTTAAAAAATATGAGATTCCCTAGCTCATTACTTCTTATGAACCCTATCGTGACGTTTTGTGGAGTTTTAAGCGGGAAGCAAAAAGAAAAGGATGGGCTTTGTTTCTTAATTTTATAAATTAGTTTTTCGCGGCTATTATTGTGTTCATTCAATTTATTAGCACATTTCCTAACCGAGATATTAGGACCTCGCCGCCGCTGTCATCAGAGTACGTTGCGAGTCGTTAAATGCGCTCTCCAATTTCGTGCTTGCATCTTGTTGACTGCTCTAGCTCATCCATAATATGACAAGCGGCTATGTAAAGCTCACAGGAGGAATTGGTGCCAAACTTGTTGCCAAGATTAGACTGATGCGCTGTTGCCTTAATGAACGAGAACTGACAAAAAGGGATACAAAAAAAGTAAAATATAGAGTAAATTATCATGCGCTGTGCCTATTCTCACGCTAAAGTCAAAATTTTAAGATTTTATGTTACGATAAAACTAAAACAAACCAACCAACCCAACCTAACCCAACACTTTTTAACAAAGGAACAACAAATTTATAAAATAAAAAGTAAAAAAAAGTTCGACAACTTCTGAGTATCGAACTCGGTATCTCTCGGTATCTCTCGCATGCTAGCGATCGCCCTACCATCTGAGCTATCCAGCTTTACATTAATTTTATAACTCTCGGGGAATAGAAACGGATTTACAGTGTGACGTCAGTCGGGCTCGAATACGAGCACCATTTCCTCCCGTGAGCTTTACCTAGCCGCTTATCATAATATGGAAGAGCTAGAGCAGTCAACAAGATGCAAGCACGAAATTGGGGAGCACATTTAACCACTCGCAACGTACTCTGATGGCGTGAGAACATATTAGTTAAGTTAGTAGCTAAGTTAGATTTAAGAAATTAAACGTTGCCCGATTCTAGCAGGTTTTCCGGTATCTGCAAATTAAACTTACTTCTCTTATAACACACGGGTTACTGGTACCGTGAACTGTTGCCAACTATGAAATCTTATAATTCTTAAAAGTTTACTTAAAAATTTACCAGATTCCCCCGTTTTTTATTTTAATATAGTTCCAAAAACTTTCTTTTTAATGGTATTGGGGGGGCACTAAAAGTAAATATTTATTTGTTGTAAGGTTTAATTATTAAAAACCACTTACTTTTACAGCTCTACGAAGGTAAAACCATAAAACTCGAGATAACCTAAATCTTCTTCTTCTTCTACAAATTTATTCTCTGTTTCGAGAGAATTGGTCATGACTCAATTAAGCTCTTACTGACCAGATACCCACAGACATGTTTAAAATATCTTGAAACATCCACTAAATCTCTTGAACAAATCACAAAATACCTCGCTATAAAAGGTCAAAGCTTGAGACATTGTCCAAAAATACAGGTATATTTCTTTACCGGGACCCCATTCTGATCCTCCCAGGTCTAGAAGTTACTTATTTTTTACTATTTTATAGAGCAACCATACTCTGCCAGCACCAAAATGGAAGTCCCAAACCAAAATCTTATGTTCCATAAGGAGCTGCGTACATAAAAGTAGTGCCAACCCACAGAAAGAGATTATTTTAGATTGCTTAATTATGATAAGGCTTGTTCCAACTCTGTGGCTTGTTCCTACCAAGCACTTTGGATGTAAGTGACATGCGAATTTCTAAAATCGCGGCTCTATGTTCGGTAGGGACGAAGTTTATAGAATAAGTATACTAAATTTGTGTTAAGACGGAAATTAACGGTTATATCTATAAATTTTTTTTTAAATAAGCTAGAATTCTCCAAATAAAATAATAAATACTTCAACTTTGAGACACTCCTCAAACTCGTTTAGGAATTCTCTTTTGCATTTGTAAATTCTTCAGTTTTGGTGTAAAATTCACCGAGTTGGCAATCCTGACCGTGACGTAATTGAATACATCGTCGAGAAGGGTACGATACCGGTCTTGCCTGGAGGACCTGCTTAAATCCTGACCCTGAACGCTAGTTATTGACAAAGTCTACAATAGATTGAGTAAGTTACGAATGATTTCCACGATGGATGGGTGAAACCAGGGGTATGGCTGTTTATTTGTGTTTGTCCAATTGTATATTAGTCCTTCGGAGGGGGCTTGAAGCCCGCCGTCCGTTCCTACCCCTAACCCGCTCAAGCCATTCAGTTGGCTTCTGGGACTTCTTAGGAAATAAGGGTGGAACTAAAAGAGCACTTTTGTATATAAACTTTTTTTGTATATATGGATGAACTTAAACAATGTTAAGAATAGTGACAATGATAGAAAATTGAACATATAGATAAAAGTTTCAGCTGGCCAAATCCCTGAAGGGAAAAGCCATAAAAAGCAAAGAAGAAGACCTGCTTAATTGACCTTTACTTTCCTCTCCCTTCCCT